AACAGAGGGAATACAAAAGCACTAGACTTGGGACACAGGGAAAACATGGGAACAGAGACTAACCACGGGCTGAGATAAACACTAAGGGAGAGAGGACCACGATCCCTGAAAACTAAAAAAAACCAAAAACATGAACCTCAGTAATCAAAGAATATAATTCCATAAGTTGAAACACAAATACCATGACAGACAGTATGTGCAGTTTAGACAGTCTGCACTTAAAGCTCATGGCTGAAAGTCATATAACTGCAGCTTTAATATGTTTTTGCACACATTAGAATAACACATTTAAGTCAGTGTATAAAAATATATGAATTTCTAACTGTATGCATATTTTACATGTAGTGAGATACACAGCTTATTATTATTTTCAGATTACCACCACCGAAATCCAGTGAACCAACTAAATTCATCTATAAAACATGCACTGAACCATTAAAACACATGGCTTTTATGTGTAATGAACTTTGATCTGTAGCCTCGGAAAATGCAAAATTATGAACCCTCCACGAGGACTTTTAAGTACTAAAAACAGTGTCAGAGTTTGATCTAAGTACTGAAAATTACATACTATTAAGTTGATTTTAACCCACTGAAAAGGTTTACTGGCAAGTTTACTACTTTTTCAGTTTTTATCCACCAAAATAAATGTGAACTCTTCTTTCGGGAGACTCGTCAGACACGTTCAAATGCTGCCTTTAAAACCTGTCACTGGAGCTGGCAGTTATAAAGACAGACCAAGGTTCAGTAATTTCACTTTTTCACACTGCACAAAAAAACCCAAAACGAATAACTTTTGCTTTCAAACTACACTTTGCTTTCAAGCCCATTTTCATCCCCACTGAGCAGAAAGCACGCTTAATGGTAGCAACTGAACACATGACTAACACAAGTTTGCCAAACATCATTTGCATCTTCCTACACTACATTAACGCTGGCATTTACAACGGTTGTGTGTGTAGTAGTAGGTCGTGAGACGTGCCTGTGGGTTAAAAAATAGCCACAGGTTATAAGCTATCACAGCAAGATGCACATAAAGATTCATGAATACCTTTTTATTTATAGAAACACACTCATCGAAGTGTTTCACACTCCTCAGCAGCCCATTTTCAATATCTTTATGCAGCGATTACAGAGAAAAGGGTGACAAATGACAGGAAAAACCAAAACAGAAGTCCAGAACAGTTTCTCAGTCCTCTTTAGTAATTATTCTGCAAGTATCTGGAAGTCTGCTGGAGGGATTAAGACCATTCTTTTAAAAGATGTTTCCTCATTTGTTGCCAGCAAAATCCCTCATTAGTGTTTGGCTGTGTTAGGATCTAGTGACTATAAAGGCAATAAATGCTATTCACATTATTTTCATCCTCATCAAATCATTCAACAAGCCTGTGTGCCATTAGATGGGGGATCTGATGACCAGGTGCACCACTTTATGTAAGGCCTCATAGTGTGTTTGGCCCTTGTCGCCTTCGTCACACAGACTGAGACAATGACCCACATTGTGGTGTTGGTTCAAAAATTCACAAGTTAACACTGCAGGAGTGTCACTTTTATCCAGTGACTGTGAGGAAAGCGGTGAAGGCTTTCATGATATGTCAATAATTCCAAAGAAAGCTGGTGGAGGTAAAATAACGTGTTTGGAAAGCCAACAAAAAAGTTGAAATTTAGCTGAGCTATGGCAGAAAAGGCACATGTCCTCCAGCTGTTATCATGATAGCAGACAAAAAATAGCTTTGCTATCATGTCACAGGCATTACTGGGCAGTGAAACAGTCCAGTTCAGTAGATTTATTTGGCACATGTGGCTGCCTTAACAAGTGGACCTGAACTATGATGGCATCACATTGTAAGGGTCAGGGATTCAGATTTTTCCTATTGATTTTTCACCCACCTTTATATTCCTTGAATCAGACTAGTCGTCAGTTTTGTTTCAGACTATGTGTGGAACACGTCAGGAACACTCATCAACATGCAGTGACGGATGTTACTGTTTTATCTTTGCCCAACGGGATCAGATCACAGTTGTCCTATTTGCATTTAAACCACATTTTATCCCAGATACATCTTATGTTACCATAATTTAAGGTGCTTAGGAATCAGTGACAAGACCTGCTGACATTTTCTGTGTGAAATTAATTCTCTGTATGCAGCAGCAATTGAGGAACATAAAGTGGAACTGTAAGGCAATGTTCACTCCTCAGCCACTTTATAACCAGCAAGCAAATTCAATGCAAAAGATCTACCATGTACTTTTATGCCCTACTGTATACAAACCAAACCAAACCCCACTCTTTATAGAAAAAAGCACACTGAGCTACACAAGCAAACACAAATTATAGCCTGTCCACAAATATAGGAAATTGCGGCTCAGAATTAAAATAGCAAGTACAAAGCTTCAGTTTAGTTGCAGATGAAGTTGCTGTGCTGGTGGACATGGCTCAGCCCAGCTCTCAAAAAACTGCTTATAAAAAGTCACAACCTCAACTTGTATAAAACCGTGAATATCCATAAAAGTTGCTTTATGTGCCAGAGAGTGAGATCGCTTAAAATCACAGGAAAGAGACTGATAAAGAGGTAGTGTCTGCGACAAAAGCTGAAATTACAGTGGATCTCTGTGGGGCAGTTTAATGGCAGTCCTCTTACTCCAACGAGTCTGCTGGCTTTGAGGAAGAATTTTCATACTTTTTAGAGATAAAAGGATCCTTGTTAAGTAAAAAGTGTGAGCTCAGCAGGAGGCTAGAAATACAAATTTTCAAAGGACTGTTTCTGCTTTCACAGTTCACACTGAGGGCTCCAGAAATACTATGCAAAAAAAATAGTGTTTAAAATTGTTTAACTTTTTTATCCTTTGATTAATAATAAATAGATCAATAAATAATTTAAAAAAAGTAAAGAGTATGACAGTAAACCCTTAAGTCATTTTCCCTGCTGTAAATTCGTACTTTTGTTTACTTTTATCGCGTATCTTTCTTTTGTCTTTCAGGTATTGCTTATATATTTGTAAACTTATTTATTTCTCTACCCTCTTTTTACAGTTTTACATTTTAATGGATTTCTGTATCAATGTGCAAAAGAAGAGGCTCTTATTGAGTCAATTCATTGGTTGATCAATAAAGTTTTATTAATAACTCTTTTTTTATTTTTCCATTCAAATGTAAATTCAAATGCCAAATGTGTAACAATAAATGCAGATATTTATTGATGCTATTATTTTGGTAACAGTTTATCATTTTTTACAATTATTTATTTATTAATTTTTGATTTTGGCAGACCCTGCTCTCTATAATTTTTCCCCAAAGAAAGCCTGTGAGCTGATTAATCATCTTTAAAGGCATTTCTTAAATATTCCATTATGTTGTTATTATTATTAATAACAGTTTGGGCTTCTCCTTCAAACTAATCTCATTTTGGATATTGTTTGTGTGGTTCAGAGACCCAGTATCTCACTCTGCTCCACACCTTCTCTTTTTAGAGTTTCTGAAGCTGGATGAGTCAACTTGAAGAGAGAAATCAAGCGACTGGGTGGACTTATCGCCAAGCCACACATGGAGGACCTCCAAATCCCACAGTTTGGATTCTGTGTCCAGATGAAATGCTCAGAAGTGGGACAAAAAGCCAGCTTTGCATTGTTAGGCTTCCACCTCTGCTCAGTGTAGCGTTACGATACCGATAAGCCTTTCAGGTGTAGCAATGAACTGTCTGGCAGCCATTTTGGAGGTCTGCATCTTGTTTGGCATCAGCTGTGAGCAGCTGATTGTATTTATCTGCAACAGACTTTTCTTCACAGAAAAAGTTTTTTTTCTTGAAAAAAAGTTTAAAATGTACATTTAGCATGTTTAGCATAAAAGCTACTGTAGCATTAAAAGAGCTACCTATAATCTCAAAATATTCTAATTGTGGGTGTGATCACGGACTATAAAAACACAATGGACATAGCTACGATTAGTCACCCACTGGTTACCAAAATCCTGTATTTGAAACTTCAAGTGCAGCAAATTCATTGTCACCATCTTAACATTCTCAAATCTTAAAAACCTATCATACATTTGAAAAATAAAAATAATTTAAAAATAGACGGAACCCATAAACTCATCAGAAAAGCACCTACTAAAGTCATAAATCAATGGAGAGGAGTTAACATGAGTCAGAACTAAATTAAAGGAGTTCTTCCCACTGTCTTTCATACACGCAAGTCTGAGGAGTCGCCCCCTGCTGGCCACGAGAAAGAATGCAGGTTTAACGTACTTCCACATTGGTTTCATGTTTCCAAGCTGAAAGTTACATTGATAAAGTAGAGCTCATGTTAGTAACAAGCAGCTGTTTTTCACATATTAAAGCTTACTTGTTAAGCTTATTTAAAGTGGTCATGAAACGCTGCACATATAAAGGCAAATTTACACATGGAGCCCTGCTCTCAAAGACTGACATAGATGTAAAACTGTCTGTGAAGCTTGATTTAAGAATGAAGTGCTTAGAGTTAAAGTTTTAAAAACACGTTTATGCCATCTTCTGTTAGTACGGAACATTATGTCACCAGGTTGGCTAGTTGCTGCTAACAGCGACCCTGACAAGGACAAGCGGAAGAAAATAGATGGATATACTGTCTGCTTTCACTCTCTATTTCTTAAGCAGTAAGTGGTTCTTTTTTGTTTGACTGTCTGCATTAACACAGGAAAATCCACCTGTTAGCTGTAATTTTTGGGTTTGTAAAGCACTTGTTTGAGACCAGCAGACCAGACCGCTTGGTACACTCAGTCAGACATGGAAAACTCAGAGTTTCTGACTCCAGCTTGTTGGTCCAGTGAACCACCTGACTCAAACAGGCACTCCTCCACACTGTCCTCATTTATAAAGTGCTTTACAAACCTGAACATTACAGCCAACGGGTAGGTTTTTCTGTGTCAGTGCAGCTAGCCAATCAGCTACATAAGAAATTGAAAAAGAAAGTGAAAGTGAACAGTATATACTTGGTTTTAACATAAAGCTCATTGTTGCACCCATGGGTAGCACAAAAGTGACCCCCTTAGATTGATTTTTATTGTTTGTGTCCTTATGTTTTCCACATTTATAGGTTCTGTACTGGTTAGCTAACATAAACCAATGTAAGTCTGTTGACCACAACCAACCAACCAAGTGACATAATGTTCCCAGTGGCACTAAACACATTTTTAAAACTTTTACTTTAAGCTTTTATTCCTTAAATTCAGCTTCACATGCAGTTTTACATCTATATCAGTTTTTGAGAGCAGGGCTGTATAAGTAAGTGGTATAAATTAGCCTTTATACATGTAGTGTTTCATGTCCACTTTAAAATGGACCTGACAAAACCATTTCCGTTATTTTAGTCTACATACAGCATTCATTCACAACAGGGATCTACCAATTTTGATAATTTTTGAAGTCTAACTACATGTAGCATCAATGCAGCCCACAGAGACTGCGATTAGCATTTTCCATACTGTTGTTTCCTCCTATTCATTTCCAGTTTCTGTTTCTTCTGTTGCCATTTTTAAAATTGACCGGATGAGAAATTTGGAGAGAAACGCCGCTCATAGACTATGCCATAGGCTCTACATGGATTCAAAGCAGATGTGCAACAAATCTGTCTGTACTGTTAAATTCAGTTTTTCTCCACAACATTTCTGGATTTTTGCTAGCCGTCACTGTTGAGCTTCAGCAAAACTTAGAGGATTGAATGAGTGAGCCATGTAGGCTGTGACAAACAAACCTAAGCGTTTCACCTGCAGACCTCCATAATGGCACTGGCTGTCTCTCCTTAAAGGTCATGTAGCCACATTTATTTACATTTCCCAGCCATGTGTGAACATTTTGTTAAAGGTTTAAGATTTAAGTCTGCTCCAGACAAAATGACGATCTAAGCTAGGATACATACCTAATATATTTTCCCATGAGCCCACCAAAACTCAAGATTACAGTCTTATCCTATGTACAGCACTACCTACTGATTGCCATTTACCTGACTGAGTAATGTGATTCTCTAAAGTGTGCGCTAACTACTTTTTATTGTCACTGTGTTAATATCCACTTGCATGCACTCACCCTCTATAATTTACTCTGATCCCAGTGATGCTTCATATGGCCTGTTTTATTACAAGAAGTTTTTAAAAAAGCTTAAATATTATTTCACATACTCCGACACTGTTTTGTAGGTAAATGTTGCACGTTTCATTTTGAATTTAAACTCCTCACATGTGAGCTGCTTTTTGTGCGTTTCCACAGCTATGACATCAGGACAAAGCAGTGAGTTTTGCATGTAATCTTAGAGTGGTAACGCACCCAGTTGTCAGCATGCTAGCTCAGGGAAATTTATTGTCTCTGGTTGAAGCTGTGGATTAAACTTTAATACGTACAGCTTTCATTAAAGCATGTGAACAGATCCCACAGGGAGGATTCACATGTACACGTTTCTGTCACAGCAACAAAAGACCCGTTACGTCTTTTTTGCTGGACTGAACTCTTCCATTGCTCTGCTCATATTTAACGTAAACTAAAGAAC